CTCAGCATTGCTGTTATACCAGAGTAATGATTTACCTTTTCCGGCTTTCGAAGTCGAAAGAGCGACAATGAAGGTGACGCCAAATAAAGACGAATCTATTGTACCATTTTTAACCAAAGTTGGATGTCAATTATGTAATCTCAATCAATTTAATAAAATGTACCATTTTAAATGCTAGAAAGTTGGTTCTGCTATTTACCATTTTTCGTTTATTGCATCTATGTTCGTTAAACATAATACAAACGAAAAAAATGCCGAGTTCCGAAGTGTCTTGCACGGATGGGGCTCCAAATTCAGAGGCTTGTTCGGCCTAAAAGTCTCATGCACTGATGGGGCTCCGAATTCAGAGGCCTATATCTTGGCCAATTGTAAAATCAACGAAGGGCGCTCTAAAATCGGAGACTTATTCGGCCCAAGCATGCCTTGCATGGATGGGGCTCCGAATTCGGAGGCTTATAACTTGGCCAATCATGATATCCACAAAGGGTGCTCCGAATCTGGAGGCTTAGTGGGCCCAAAAGTGTTATACACTGATGGGGCTCCGAATTCGGAGGCTTATTAGTTGGCCAATCGTGATATCCATGAAGGGCGCTCTGAATTCGGTGGCTTATTGCATGGCCAATCGTGACATCCACGAAGGGCGCTCCGAATTTGGAGACTTATTCGGCCCAAGTGTGTCTTGCATGGATGGGGCTCCGAATTCGGAGGCTTATAACTTGGCCAATCGTGATATCCACGAAAGGCGCTTCGAATCTGGAGGCTTAATCAGCACAAAAGTGTCATGCATTGATGGGGCTCCAAATTCGGAGGCTTATTACTTGGCCAATCGTGATATCCACGAAGGGTGCCCCGAATTCGGAGACTTATTCGGCCCAAACGTGTCTTGTACGGATGGGGCTCCGAATTCGGAGGCTTATAACTTGGCCAATCGTGATATCCACGAAGGGCGCTCCGAATCCGGAGGCTTAGTCTGCCCAAAAGTGTCATGCACGGATGGAGCACCGAATTTGGAGGCTTATTACTTGCCCAATCGTGATATCCACGATGGGCGCTCCGAATCCGGAGGCTTAATCGGCCTAAAAGTGTCATGTACTGATGGGGCTCCGAATTCGGAGGCTTATTACTTGGCCAATCATTATATCCATGAAGGGCACTCCGAATTTGGAGGCCTAATCGGCCCAAAAGTGTCATGCACTGATGGGGCTCTGAATTCAGAGGCTTGTTACTTTGCCAATCGTGATATCCACGAAGGGCGCTCTGAATCCGGAGGCTTAATCAGCCCAAAGTGTCATGCACTGACGGGGCTCCGAATTCGGAGGCTTATTACTTGGCTAATCGTGAAATCCATGAAGGGCGCTCCGAATCCGAAGGCTTAATCGGCCCAAAAGTGTCATGCACTAATGGGGCTCCGAATTCAGAGGCTTGTTACTTGGCTCTTAATTGGAAGACTTGATTTAACGAACTGAATTTCATAATGAGGAAATGAGAAACTTTGCATTCAAAACAAACTTGAAATTTGTACACAGGAAACACTCAAAACAAGTATCATGCCCCACAAGTCGGGTTAATGATAGAATTTACACAAATGCGTGGAATTCCAAGGACGTGGCAGACTTCCCCCAGACATGTCTTTGAGCCGATATGGCCTTATGCTGGCGATTGACTCAATCTGGTAGGGGCCATCGTAGTTGGGACCTAATTTTTCATTAGCCAGATTCCTGGCAGCTGGAAGTACTTTCTTCAGGACCAATTCGCCTGGTGCATAGCAGCGTAGCTGAACGCGTTGATTATACGACTTAGCAAGATGTTCCTGGTACTGTGCCATGGATGCAAGGGCACGGTCTCTCTGATCTTTAATCAGAGTCAAATCCAAGGCCAGCATCATGTCATTTTGGCCCACATCAAAAACTTTTTATTTCAAGGTTGGGAGGGCGATCTCCAGGGGGCTGATTGCCTGGGTTTCGTAGCATAAAGAGAACGACATTTCTCTAGTGGACCGCCTTGGTGTAGTGCGATGTGCCCATAACACACTGGGGAGTTCTTCAACCCACCTGCCTTTAGCTTTCTCTGGCCATTTCTTGATGCCATCCAAAATAGCTTTGTTGGAGGCTTCAGTTTGACCATTATTCTGGGGATAAGTCGGGGTGGTGAAGTAGGGCTGAATACCATACTTGCTGCACAGTTCTCGGTAGACACCTCAATCAAATTGGGTGTTGTTGTCTGAAATAAGTGCTCTTGGAATGCTGAATCGTGTTATGATATTTCTCCATACAAAACGCTTCACATCAGTACCTCGAATGTGCGTTAGTGCCTCCGCTTCGACCCATTTCGTGAAATATTCTATCGCGACAATCAAAAATCGCTTGTTGCCAGGGGTGCGAGGTAATGGTCCGACGATGTCAAGTCCCCATTGGGTGAACGGCCAAGGACTGGTTAGAGAGCTTAACTCTTCAGCAGGCAAATGGGTTAAAGGGGAAAACTTCTAGCACTGTTCACATTTCTTGGCGTAACACTCGGCATCAGCTCTCATTGTCGGCCAATAATACCCTTGTGTAACAGCTCGATGAGCCAAAGAGCGTCCGCCAGAATGGGCACCACAACTACCTTCATGTATTTCAGTCAGGAGTTCCTCGACTTTATCTGGATGAACGCATTCAAGATATGGACCAGAAAGGGATTTCTTGTAGAGCTTTCCTTGCGGATCCAAGTAGTATCGCAAAGCTTTCTTTCGCAGCTTGTATGCATCTTTCTTATCTGTTAGGAGCTTTTCAAAAGATAGAAATGCAGCGATAAGGTCCATCGAACTCGGACCTGATTCTATGATATTGATCTGAACTGACTCTAAGGAGGCGATGCTCGGCTTAGGGATGAATCCTACCTCAATTGTCCGTTTAATTTATGAGTTAATGGCGGAGGCTAGGCAAGCCAGGGCGTCGGCGTGTGTGTTCTGATCCTGGGTTATTTGATTTAGTTCATGATGGTCGAATTTTGCTAGCAAAGAATTTGTCGTTTTAATGTAAGCTGCTATTCGGTCATTTTTAGCTGTGTAATCCCCTTTCAATTGGTTGATGACCAGCTTTGAGTTGCAAAAGACAACCAATCACCGAGCACTAAGTAGAAGCGCAATTCGTAAGCCGGTTAACAATGCTTCGTATTCAGCCTCATTGCTCGATGCTTCAAAGCCCAATTTGACCGCCTGCTTGATTATTGCCCCATCGGGAGCCATGATCACTACGCCCTCTGCACTGCCATGTTGGTTGGACGACCTGTCACAATATAACTGCCAGATGTCGCCAACATAAATTCTCCATTTCGGCTTAGGTTGAATTTGATCAGACTTAAAGTCGGCGAGGCCTCCAGTGAATTCGGCCACAAAGTCGGCCAGCACTTGCCCCTTGATTGAGGTCTTCGACAGAAATTGAATATCACACTGGCCACTCGAGAGCCCACTTTGAGACGCGCGTCAATGCTTCCACACTACGAAGTACTAACTGGAGGCCATAGTCCATTAGTACCCCAATGGCATGCCCCCGAAAGTAATGCATCAGTTTTCTTGCTGCCATGATCAGTGCAAAGATGAGTTTTTCCAACGAAAGGTAACGTGTTTCGACATCAACCATTGTTTTGCTCACATAATAGACTGGTCGTTGCTCCCCAAGTTCTTCCTTTATCAGTACAGTGCTGACGGCCCAGTCGGAAACTGCCAGATATAAAATGAGCAAATCACCTACCGAAGGCGTTGTCAAAAGTGGGACTGATCGGAGGTAGGTCTTCAAACCGTTCAGAGCGGCTTCGCACTCGGAGGTCCATTCAAAAGCTTTACCCTGTCGGAGGGTATGAAAGAATTGTTGGCAGCGATCTGTGGAATGACTGATGAACCTATTGAGTGTGGCGGCCATCCACATCAGCTTTTGAACCTCCTTGACCGACCGAAGGGAGCCGATTTCTAGAATTGCTGTGATTTTCCTCGGGTTGGCTTCGATGCCACAGTGGTTAACAATGTAGCCAAGGAATGTGCCGGATCCGATCCCAAATGCACACTTGGAAGCGTTCAACTTCATTTTGTACTTGCGTTGAATGCCGAAAGTCTCTTCCAAGTCGGCTAGATGAGTTTGTTGTTCTTTGGACTTGACCACCATATCGTCAATGTAGACTTCCATAGTACGGCCAAGTTGCTCTTTGAACATGGCAGTGACTAATCTTTGGTAAGTTGCCCTGCATTCTTCAACTCAAAAGGCATAACCTTGTAGCAATAGGTTCCTCTTGGGGTGAGGAATGCAGTTTTGTCTTGGTCCTTCGGATGCATGGCAATTTGATGGTAGGCTCTGTAGGCATCCAGAAAGCTCATTCGTTGGTGATATGCCATGGCATCTATGAGCTGGTCTATTCTAGGGAGGGGAAAGCAGTCCTTTGGACAAGCTTTGTTTAGATCAATGAAATCCACACAAACATGCCATGTCCCATTTTCCTTCTTTACAACCACAGTATTCGACAGCCATGTAGGATAGGTCACTTCACAAATTGCCCCGGCGCCAAGCAACCGGTCAACTTCTTCAACAACGACAGCGGTATGCTCTGTGGCAGATCACCGGCTTTTCTGAATAATCTGCTTGCATTTGGGGTCAACGTTTAAACGATGTTGAGAAACGGAATGATCCACACCCAGCATCTCATATGGTGTCCATGCAAATACATCAAGGTTGCCGAGCAAGAAAGAAATTAGCTGCTGTCTATTGGCTTGATTCAGGGAGATGCCAACCATGTAGAACCTGTCAGGATTCCCGTCAATTTCAATCCAATCTAGGGCTTCCGTTGCCTTTTCACTTGGGAGCCACCCAACATCGTCGAGGCTCTCTCGATCCGGCACCTTGATAGAATTCACTTCCAGTTCTCTTGGTGTCTTTGTGATAAGAAGATAACATGCCTGTGCCGATTTCTGGGAACCTCGAATTTGCTTGATGCCGCATTCAGTCGAAAAGCGAAGTAGTTGATGATATGTGCTAGGCACGGCCTACATGGTGAGCAGCCAAGTTCTTCCCCATGATAAGATTATATGACGAAGGCAGCTTGACAACCAAAAATTCTACATCCACTGGCCGGGAGCTTGCCTGAACTGGTAGTGTGATTTTGCCCAATGAATATTCCGGATTAGCGTTGAAGCCGAATAGTGGATAATGAGCTGGAGATAGATCCAACTCAGTGAAGCCAAGGTTGACGAATGTCTTATAATACATAACTTCCAAAGTGCTTCCCTGATCAATGAGAACGCACTTAACGGTGAATCGGTTTATGCGTAACTCGATGACTAAGGGATCAATGTGGGGAAGTATTATGCCGGCCAAATCTGAATCATCGAAAGCAATGTTCGCAACCTCATGGGGTCGTTTTGCTGGAGTGAATTGCCGTTGGGGCCTAGGATGCGACTGAATTGTATGTACAGCGGATGCCATCGACAAGCTGTATATCATATGGATTACGCCAAGCGGAGGTGAATCCTGCCGTAAAGCAACTATTTTGGTTGAGTTGTTCTTTCGGACGTGTTGCTGAAGCCGACCGTCTTGTACCAACTCCTCAAGTTGATCTTTTAAAGCATAGCAGCTGTCGGTATCATGACCGTGATCTTTGTGATATTCGCACCACCTATCCCGTCTCCTTGTGTCGGGAGGTCCTACTATCTTGGGCAGCTATTTGAAGAACGGTAGATGTTGAACTTTAGTCATAACCATGTTGATCGGCTCTAACAACTCTGTATATTTCTTGTCCGCGCGCCTTCTGCACCTGCTATCCACTTGAAGTTGTTCATTAGCTCAATGGGAACATTGGTCATTGGATCAGCGTGAATCTTGCCTCTTGTCTCGTTTAGCCCGACTCCGTGGTTCTGGGCTCCGTGACGGTACAGAATTTATCGGCTGAATGATTTCAGTTGGGGCCGTCTTGCTGGCCTTGTGCCTGGCTTTGACCCGCAGGGCATCATCTTCCATTTTGCAATTTTCTTCGACTTTCTTTATTAACGACCAAACTGTTTTAAGGGGGACTTCTGGTCAAGGAACTGCGGAGGGCACTATCAGGATGTAACCCCATTTCAAAGGCGATAATGGCCATGGAGTCATTGCAGGCATCATCGACGATATTAAAGCATTCCCAATAGCGCGCCGAATAAGCTTGTAAGGTTTCTCCTGGTTGGATTTGCATTGCCAAGAGAGAATCAGCCTGCTTCGGCTGGACTTCATTGGTGATGAACCTTGCCCTGAAGGATTTTTGGAGTTGATAGAAGCTCTTAATCGATGGCGGTTCCAATTTATAAAACCACTGACGGCCAATGGTCCCAAACTGTTCAGAAATATTTAGCACATGAGGGGCCTCATCGTCCTCATGCAACGTCATGGATTGCTTATAATGGCGAATGTGATCGATAGGGTCTGATTTCCCGTCGTACAGGGTGAACGATGGAGCTTTGAACTTTTTGGGTAATACTGCATTTGTGATCCGTCGCACAAAGGGATCATGTTGGTTCTCTTCGTCTGAACCATTTCATCTTCGCTTATTCCGTGCATGCGGACTCTCTTCAGAGGAACTAGAGGTTTCGACTCGTCCCTTCTTTTTGGGCTCTAGGATAATGTGTCAGAATCACTGTCACTATCTTGTCTCCGAACCCAAGGTCATCGACCATCCCTTCTCAGAGGTTGCCCGAATCTTGGCGTGCGGTTTGTTGTGATTTTTCCACTTCCAAGGCCAAATCCTGATGAAAGCGCTCGTTCTTAGTGATCATGTTTTCCAACCTCTGTTCATTTTGCTTCACCTGTTCCATGATCGCTTGCATTGTATCGTGTGTAAAGTCCAGGGTGAGGTCTGGGCAGCTGAGTCAATGTTCAATGCACGTCTTCCGGCAATATTCTCCGGTCCCAGCATGTTTCTTGGAGTGAGGTCATCTCTTGGTGTAGTTTCGTCAGCGACTATCGGAGGATCTTCCGTTACCCCCGATATAAATGTAGTTGAGTATTTCCATAGATGGCGCCAATTGTGGGGAAGTGGTTTGGAAATACTCTTTGGATCCAGTAGGACACTCATGATCCTCAGCTAGCCACCTGAAAAGGAATGAACACTCCGGTCGGGGGTGCCATAATTAGTACTCTGACGGATAAGTCAGTGTATACTCTCTAGATTGCTTATATCTCAAGTTAAATTTACTTGTTCTCACATATCACTCTTTAGTTGTTGTTCTTCTATTTATATACGCTCCTGGTCCTCAGGGTAGGGGCCACTCTTGATCCGTCGTGTGACTGCTCATTCGGCCTTCCTTTTGTTGTACTCCAACTTATAATCGGCCTCCGCTCAACTAGCTTTATGGCCGATTAAGATACTCGGCTCTTAGAACATATGAGACCGGCAGATATAATATATATCTTGATTTTGTAAATGTGTACTCGGCCTATCTAAGTCCCCTGATATTCGACTCCCACAATCATCTTTTCTCTTTCATTATATCCATGCTTTGCATCCATGTTTCATGCATCTCGATTCGGCTAATTTTGCATTTGTGGATTTAATGAATTCCTATATGATTATGTACACTACCTCACGTTCTTGAGATGATTCACATGTCATATCTTAGAAACTGAATCTTTAGTTGCATCTCATGAGTGAATTATGTTAGGATTTTGTATATAAGGTCATGCATGTTTTTACTGACTTTTTTTTGTAGCTGTTCGAGGGATGTCAGTAAATATGTAAGTTTTTATGCTTTAGCATCCCGTTTGTGTGTGTTTTTTCTTATTATGTTTAAGCATCCTACCATGTGGCTACTTGCTTACTTGATTTGACTGTATGAATGCCAGTGGATGGAGGTTGTGTCACTTAATTTGGAATAGTGTTGATTTTCACATTTGTAAACTCAATTTATTTGGGTTGTACATCTCCAAAACTCTTTCAAAACTACATGAAATCAAATTATTCCAAAATAAATGACATAGTCTATACTTGTATGCTTCACATAGTAATTTTTTTTTGGATTTAGTAAATAATCGAAATATGAACGTATAAAGTAAATAAAATTCATATCATGGTTAGTAAAGGCCGATCTTTTGATCGGGTGAGCAGGGGTGCTCAATTAATGACCTTGCCCTCTCATACCTAAGGTTCCGAACCGAGACAACTTTGGTTATGATGAATAGTGGCCTTTGCACAAGTCATGGGTTTCCTAATTTCCCAAAATATTAGGTGACGACTCTGAGATCTGATGACGCAGTCCATTTGTGGCAAATATTTTTTTTTTTTGTGCAATAAAATGGATTTTCTATAAAGTTGCCAAATCTGGGTTATCATCTGTGTTTCACATTGCCCTTGTGAGACTAGATCAAAGAGATCTTAGGAGTTCAAACTGTTTAACCCGCGCGGGTACCACCAGGACATGTTACAGTCACCGTAGGTATGATGGTAGTGATTGGGTGAAGGTTGAGATTCACCAGACATTGTTGGGAAATAAGTTGGAGGGTGAGTTTGGCTCTGTGGCCTTTTATGGCGTTCATTTCAACTGAAAACTCTGATTTGAAATTTTGTGGATTGTTTGGAGAAAATGTTTGCAAAACAATTAGTCTCCTTGAGATTTTGGAACAAAATTTTTGTTGGAAAATGATGTAAGTTTGAATAATTTTTTTAGAAAAACAGAGTAAGTGGTGAAAGGGCCTTTGAAACAATAAGAAAAATCATTGTTTTAATCAAATTATGTGATTGTTCTATTCGACATTGTAGGGGTGAGATTCCGTTATGGTTGGATTCCAATTACTAGTTATGTACATTTTATATTCTGATCTGTTGTTTCTTGTGAAGGGGTGTTAGTCCCTTATCGTAATATTGGTTGTTAGCATCGGTGGGGTGGTGTGTTGTGAGCAGCTGGTAATATGTTTCAGGCAGAGGTATAGTGGAGCTTTCCTAAGTTTTAGGACTCTATTATTATGTTTGAATGGGATAGGTATGTACCTTAATTCGGGTTAAGTCAGGTGATGCCGTCAGAAGGGTTGGTTGGGTATATAACCCGTGGTTAGGGTGTGACCTATGTGTAGGGTCACAATGGTTTGGTGCTTATGGGCAAAGGTTTGGGATAATGACAAGGAGATTAAGGACTTCATTTGTTCTTCTGGAGAGTTAGGGCAGTAAGTCTTCGAAAGCCCTATCGTTGTTTTGCGTTGGCGCCGGAGTTTAGTTTGGAGTAGTTGTTCAGTAGTAGCAATGGCTAGTGGGTTGACACAGAGGCTTAGTATTTTGATTGTACTCTTATGACGAGTGATAAATAGAATGTGGAATAAAGAGTTGACCTTATTGGTCAGTGAGGAATTGAGGTGTTATGTTTACTTGTGTTCGATTCGAATGGTTACATAGTAACGAGGGTGTTGTAGCGTGGTAAGCCTTTGCTGGTTAACTTGGTGTGGGGAACAAGTGGGAAAATTTTGTTATTGTGAATTCAGTCGAGGTTGTGAGTATATCCTCCGAATGAGGAATTCAGTGTGGGTGTAGAATACCGTGCGTTAAGTGAGAAGGTTTTTCTAGTATGGTATGTGGTGGTTTGTGGTTCATATGTTGTTATTAGAATATGTGTAGAATGGGATCGGTCACAAGGCAATCCCAGGAGAGTGCCTTGGTAAGGCAATTGTGCAGTTAATGATTGGGTTGAGTAATTTAATGTTCAAAATTGTTGGGTCACTTTGGTGTGGGTGTTTGTAGTCCAGTTTGGATAGTGGAACTCCGAGTGACGCAGCAAGATTGTGTAGAGTGAATGACGCATTCTGCCAAAGTTGTTTCGACTTATTCGGTCCTTGTGTGCGTTGACTTGAGATGGTGTATTGGGTTTGACTTGAAAAGTTCAGTTAGGACTCAAATGTGAAGCAAGGATGTGTGTGCCACTTAGGCATACGTGTGAGGGGTGAATGAAAAGTCAGAGTACCATGGGGTAACTTTGAAGAATCCGGAGTGATTCATTGAACCGGAGAGGTTGTGTATGGAACTCCATTTAGAAGTTGGCAAGGTTGAGCACGATATTGGTGTTGAAGACCGGCACGACTGAATAAAGTTAGAGAGCTGATTGATCAATACTTGGGTTGGTTGACATATAGTCACCTCGAGAATCGGTCAAAATTGTAGGTTGTGTAATTAAACGGTGCCTTGGTGTGGAATGTAAGTCCCTCATGGACAGTTGGAAGGTTGTTTGAGTGGTAGTAACCGGTTTGGGATTTCGGTTGAGAAATTTTGTCTTGTAAGCGCTTTGCACCATTATGTGATCAATGGTGTGCAATTTCTTCCTTTGTGTTATTGCGTTATTGGCATTTCTAAAATTTATAGGGGTTCTCATTGTGGAAAATCTTGTTTTGGGTATTGTAACACCACCGTGAGTGTGATGGGTTTTGTGGGATGACTATGTTGTGATTTACTCAAGGAATGTTGAAGCATAATTTGGAGG